AGTCATCCCACATACTAAGATCTTTACTGAGTACAGACATGCCCAATGTATTCACAGACTTGTAGTTTACATAAATTTCCATTCCTTTCCTTGAAATGCTTTTCTACCCTTGCTAATCTGGCCCAGTTGGGATATGGAAACCTAGATAAAAAATTACAGTCCAAGTTTCAATAGTAGTTTTAAAAAATAGAAAGCTTATGAAGAGTAATGAATAAAAAAACAGTAGAGACAAGATAAGATTCAAGGTTGAGGCCTTAGATTTTGGTGATTCCTCTTCTGCAGTTCACTCTGTTTTTGTTTTATTTTTAAAATAACAAACATAGTGCTAATATCTTTTTCTGCCTGTATTCTATTTGCTTGACTTCCTATAACCACATGGGGTTTTTTTGTTGTTTTTATTTATTTTTTGCAAGGTTGATGGTTGAAATTTTGCATTTACATATGTACTGGTGTTTATGCATTGTTTTTCTAAGTCTCCATCTCCCCTCCTTCTCCACCTTCTTAACAGTACCCTAAATTTCCCAGCAGTGCATTATTTTTAATGAGTAGTTGTTCCTATTTGGCTTAGCTAGTACAACCTCTCTATTCCACTGCCAGTGGTGCTTGGTTAGGATAGATACATAGCCCAAAGTGGGCCAGTTAAGGCCAACGAATGTCCTAGTCATTTTTCATTGCTGGGACACAATACTTGCCATCCACAATTTAAGGGGGAAAATTGGCTCACAGATTTCAGTCCATAGCTGGCTGGCTCCCAAGGCAGGGTGGCATGGTAGTAAGGCATGGCAGAAGAGAGCTGCTCAAGCATGGCAGATGAGAAGCATAGAAAGACAGAGGAGACAAAGGAAGTAGAGAAAGACAAAAAAACAAAGGAAGCCAGGAAGGGAAATATAAATTTGCAGATCATGCTCACAGTTGACCCACCACTTCTGACCAGGTGTACCTTCTAACAGGCCCCATAATCAATCACTTTTTAAAAGCCTCATGAGCCATTGGGCTCATGAGGTTCTGGGATAGGGGAGCAACTAGATATAAAGTATAGCATTCCATCCCTGGCCCCTAGAGGACTCATGTACATCTGTTATACAAAATACATTTAGTCCATATCTAAGAGTTGTGGAAGTCTTAATGGTTCCAGTATTGCTGAGAAATCCAAGACCAGAGTCTCCTGAGGCTTAAGGCAAACTCTCATCTGTGAAGCCCTATAAAGATCACTGCTGAAATACAGTGGCATATGGTAAATATTCCCATTCCAAAAGGGAAGAGCAGGAGGATAGAAACCAGTGGTACCAAAGCAAGACTGAAACCCAAGACGACAAACATTAAATCCCATAGTTACAAAAGGAAATTGCCCCTCTGCACTGTGCAAAGAGGAAACCGCCTCCATGGGGTGTTTGCCCTTGCCCCTCTCTACACATGAATTGTGTTTCCTGGCTATACTACCCACCAACTCCAAGCCAGTGCTGAATTTTGTTTCTCCCTCATCACTGGCCATATATATAATACATCTTCTTTTTTTTTTAAATCTCCTTTCCTCCTCCTCCCCTCCATCCATCTCTTGAGCCTTTTTCTTTTCTCTATTCTCTGTTTTACAAATTTGTAATACATAATATTTATATTCTTTATGTGGAGTTGGTACTGGTACATAACATATCTTAATTCCTTTTTTCATCCTCTTTTTCTTCCCTTCTTCTTCCTTCCATCTCTTGATCCCCTTTCCCGTTGAGAAAATTCTATTTCCCTACCCTCTATTATCTATTTTTTATTTTGCTGTTATTTTTATTTTAGATTTCTCATATAAGAGAAGCCATGCAGTATTTAAGCTTATGTTTCTGACTTATTTCAGTTAACATTGTGGCCTCAAGGTGTATCCATTTTCCTACAAATAACTTGTTTATTTTTCTTTATGGCAGATAGTACCCTATTATGCATAAATATTACATTTTCTTTAACCTATATGTTGATGGATATATAGGCTGCTTCCAACATTTAGCTGTTACAAATTGTGCAGCTACAAACAAGTGTATTCATATCTCACTATAATGTGATGTCTTCAACTCTTTCAGTAAGATACATAGAAAAGGAATAGCAGAGTCAATTGGAATTTCTAGTTTCAGTTTTGATAAAAGCCACTTATAACAAACATATTGCCAATATCGTATTAAATGAAAAAATTAAAGTTTTTCCTCTTAAAATCAGGAACAAGACAAAAATGTTCATTATTGTTCAACACAGTTCTTGAAATGTTAGAGCAGTCAGGCCCGAGAAAGAAAGGAAAGGGTATGTGAATGACAGGTAGAATTCAAAATATTATTTGCAGATGATGTGATCCTCTGCATAGAAACCCAAAATATTCCATTAAATGTCTCCTGGAATTGATAACCAAATTCACCAACAGAGCAGGATACAAAATCAAACAAAATTGCTAGCTTTCCTTACACCAATAATAAACTCATTGAGAAAGAAATTAGGAAAACAATACCATTTACAATAATACTAAGAAAAAATAAATACTTAAGAATTAACCTAACCAAGGAAGTGAAAGAGCTCTACAATATATAGTATTCCGAAAAAGGAAATCAGAGAGGACATCAGATTATGAAAAGATATCCCCTATTCCTGGATAGGCAGGGCCAATATAATCAAAATAGTCATGATTCCTGATCTTATATAGTTTTTTTTTCTTATATACAGTTTTAATGTAATCCCATTTAAAATACAACATTCCTCACAGAACTAGAGAATACAGTCTTGAAATTCATGTGGCTCCTCAGAAGACCCAAAATAGTAAAAAGCAATCTTAGGGTAACATAAAATAAAGCAGAAGATATTACAATTCTGGGTTTGAAGTTGTAATACAAAGGTACAGTGATTAAAAACAGCATGATACTGGCACAGAATCAGACATGTACATCAGTGGAACAGAACTGAGGATGTAGAAGCTACCCCCAGTAATGCAGCTATGTGATCTTTGACAAGTGCCAAAAAATAAACTGGTGCCTCTTAAATAAATGGTGATGTGAAAATTGGCTGCCCACATGCAGAATGTTGAATTTAGACCCATATCTCTTTCCATATACTACAGTAAAATAAAAATGGATCAAATATCTGAAAGCACAAATATTTAATCTGCTGAAAGATAAAAATGGGTAAAATGCCTGAAAATATTGGACATACACAAGGACTTTCTGGACACAACCCCAGTGGCACAAGAAATAGTACCAAGAATCCACAGATGTAAACATGTCAAATTAAAAAGCTTATGCACAGTGCTCTCTGAAGGCCGGGAGACATTTACCTACTCCAGTGGAAGAGAGTGATGCTAAAGAATCAAAATATTCAGGAGCATTGAGTGTAGTGGCAACAGCAGGAAAGGAGAAAAGAGGAGAGTAGTAACAAAAGAACAGGAGGAGGACCTAGAGATAAGGAAGAAGAGAATTAACCAGAGGTTAAGGAACAGAGCCCCACAGGAGATGATGAAATTAGTCTCTGTGTGTCAGTGGGGGAAATTATGAGTCCGAATGACACTTTCAGAACTAGAATATCTCAGTATGGTTAATACGGTACTAGGTTCACTGGCTGAACTTCCTAGCCGAAGTAGACTTTGAAAGTTGGAACTTAATGACAATGCAATTTCTGAAGGTTTAGAAATTTTATCAGCAAAAAAATGTCCTCAGTCTGAGTGGAAGCAGAATCTGAGTACAGTAGAAGCTCTGCAAAATCAAACGTTTTAAAGTCTTGATTTATTTGACTGAGATCACAAACTTGGGCAGTACTGAGAAAGTGTTTCTGAACTGCTGTAGCAAATTACTTGTACTTAAATGATCATCAAGATAACAAAGCACGAGACTTAGAGGATGATGAGGATGAAGATGCAGATAAAGATGGTGAAGATGAAACTGAAGGATTGGAATAGGAAAATGAGGATGAGCAGGAAGATGAAGCAGACTTAAAATTGGGAGATGGAGAGGTGGGCTTCCCATACTTAATGAAAAATGAAATTCAGGATGCGGAAGATGATGATGATGACTGTGTGGAAGAAGGAGAAGAGATAGAGAAGGTCTCTGTGGGGAGGAGAGGAAATGAGATGCTGAAGATGACAGGAAGAACATAACTAGATCATTCCAAGACCGTATTCCTTAATGTTCCAGGGTGTGTAATAGAGTGAGCTCATTTTTGTTTTTGTATGATAGCTGTTCCCTATAGAAGATAATGTGTAACTTTTCAAAGGAAAAGTGTGGTTTTACTATTTTTGCCTTATTCCAGTTAAGATTTACTAGTCCGTTAATGATCCGATTATATGTAGAGAAAAATTTTCATTGGCCTCCACCATTGTGAAATTCTTTAGCTATTTAGAGTCTTAATTTTTCTAATTCAAGCACATTGTGGGAATAATTTTCAGCCTATGTTTAACATCTCTGGACATTAAACAAAGGCAAATTAAAACCACTGAAATTTCGACTTGCTCCAAAAAAGAATGACTACATCAAGAAATCAAATACTAACATTATGAAACTGTGAGAAAAAAGGAAGTCTGCATTGTTGGTGTAAACCAGTATAACTACTGTGGAAATCATTATGCACATTCTGTTTTCTTTTTTTAAATTTTATTTTTAAAGAGAAACGGATCAGAATTTTGAAATAAGATAATAGACTGATGGTTAATACATTGCATATTATGTTCAAAGTAGTTGCTCAGAGTTCAAATTTCAGGTATGGAAAATTGACCAAACAATATTAGCACAAACCTTTCTTTTCAATGAACTAAGAAGAATAAATCGTATATCTTTACTACTGTATATTTTTTCTTTTGCCTTTCTTTTTTTCTCCTTTCCCTATACCAGTTTCTCTTTCCTTTTGAAAGTTTTTTTTCCCATTTCACAGTATACAATTGTACAGTTTGGATCTTATGTATTCTTTCACCCTCTCACACTAAGGAGGTGGAATGATGTTTGCACAAGAGTTTGGTTTTTTAATGCATATTCTTAAAATTCTGAAACTAGAGCTTTCTGCAGTGGCAATAACTTAACCAATGAGGTTTGTCCCAAATGCTATTATTGCTAATTGGAAACTTTTCCATGTGCTCTATCATGACAACTTGATATGTAGTTGGCATTGGCAACTTTTCACAGTCTCTATGGGAACTGAATTTTAAAAAACCTAAAACTAAAAATTCTGTTTGACTTAGCTATTCTCCTTTTGGGTATCTTCCTAAAAGATTTAAAGACATCATATAGTGATACATGCATAGTCAAATTTAGCTGCACAGTTCATAATAGGTAGATCTTTGAGGCAGCCTATTCAATCATGAATAGATGAATGGGTAAAGAAAATGTGGTATTTATACATAGTGAAATACTGTCATAAAGCAGGATAAGCTTGAGCCATTTATAGGAAAATGGATCCACCTTAAGATCAAAATGTTGTGAACTAAATCAGATACACAAGCTTAAATATCAAATGGTTTAACTTATATAAACAATCCCAAAATATAAATAAAATGCAAAATAAAAGATAGATAATAGGGAGTAGGGACATAGATCTTCTTTAGATGAGAAAAGGATAAAGATATGGAGGAAAGGAAGAGGAGGGAAGAAAAAGGGGATAAAAATAATTGAAATGTGTTATGTGCATGTGCCAACTTCCCACAATGCACCTAATCACTACTAGTAAACATTTCCTAGTAAAATCAATAAATCTCATAGTTCCATCTCTAGCACCTGGACAAGTTCTGAGAAAATGTGAACCCCAAAGTGCTTGAGTGGGTACACTGCTGTGGCATTGCCAGTGTTTATATCCCTCATGGCCTCTCTTTCACTGCCTTTACTCATTTCTTGCAGCTTTCCTCAGACATTCCTCATTCCAAGTTTCTCTAATTCCTGGGTTCTCCATTTCATTTTTTATTTCACTTTCACAGTTTCACATACTGCTGTCAGGTTCACATTTCTTCACCTCCCAGGTATTCATCTGAATTCGGATAGAAGGCTTTCGCACCGCAGCTCTCTTGCATTCTGTATAACTAGTGCCACCCGGATGATGCCAACGTCTGCAACCAGCAGTAGCCTGGCTCCCTTTTATGGGGACTGCAGAGGAGTACGTATTCTTGGATTACTCAGCACTGCGACCTAAATCCTGGGGAACAAATTTCCAAGGTAGCCATTCAGAGCAGAGTGCCATGGGGTCTCTTTTCAAAGCAATGCTTTTCTACTTTGGGAACTCTGAGTCTTGGAAGGGTGGGGCCTTACTAGTTCCTCATGTGCTCATAAACCATTTTCCCTCTTATCCCAATCCAAAGTAGTTAGCTTTTTTGATAATCTTTTCAGCAAGAAATGTCTCCTCTGCCCCAACTTTTGGGCCTCAATTTTAACTTACTTTTTCTTCTAACCAAACTCAAGAGTTTAAATCATTCAGCTGTGCTGTTTGTCTTGACTCTCAATCTAGAGCTGTCTAAAGCCCCCCTACAATATTTGTTCCACATCTTCAACATTAGACTACCTCAAAATATCCTCTACCAAATTAATTAGTGCACTGCCTTTAGTCCCCTCCTCAGGAGCAAAATATAGACAAGTTGTCTGACAGAGCAGAACACACACAGCACGGAGTCAAATTGCCAGTGCAGTTTTTTAAAAAAAATTTTATTTAAGGAGAAAAAAAAGCAGAGAAAGGGTACAAGTTATACAGATTTACAGAAAAAATAAACAGTAGGAAATCACCAGTTAATGGATTACATATTGTCATCTTAGAAATAATTGTTCAAGTCACAAAATTAAAGCTTGTAAAGTGGACATTCCAACAATGATACTGCAAACAGTTCTGTTCAATGATCCAATAAAATTCTGTGATATCATTTTCTATCTTATACATGCAGTTATATAGTTTAGAGCACTTTCTTTTCCTCTCTTTTGTACAATGACTATTACACATTTTGGGTTTCATTGCTCCCACGGTTCTTATTGCTTTTTTGGAAGAGAGTAAAACCAAATGAGACATAACAGAGCAGAATCGGTCAAGTCAAAAGGGTGGACATAATAGATAATATAAAAACATAATACAAGGTGATCAACAATGGTTACCATAATGCCTCCCGCTATCTCTAATAGAATTGCCTATATCATCAGTTATAATAAAATTGAACAAAACAGTAAAGAACAAAACCGACAAAACCAAAACATTGGAGACATTATAGGTCTTCAAAAGTAGATAGTAGTCAACGAGAATGGGCGTCATAATGAATTTCACTATCTTCACAGCTGTTGCTTAAACTTTCGAACCTGGTACTATCAAGCAAAACAGAATAGGGGGACATCAGTCAAAAACAAGATGGTGAGAGTAATACAGGGCTTTAAATCAAGATAATGGAAAGTCAAAGTGGGTTACTATAATATATCCTGCTATTTTTTATTTATTTTTCCCTTAATTAAAGGGATAAAAATAAAAAAGTAAATAATGGAGTGGAGATTGAGATAAAAGAGGGCATAACAGCGAATCAGCGCAGATCAAAACATAACCATTTAAGCAGAATAGTGTTTCACCACAAGATAATCCTGACATAAAAGTAGTTACCATATTGTCTCTTTCCTTGAAATCTTTGAGTATAACTTCGTATACTGTAGCATCAAATATATCAAAACAATGTAAAACCATTCAAGAGAATGACAGCATTACGGGGTATTTAGAATCAAGTAACAGAAAACGAACAGTGGTTTCTGTATAATCTCCTTGTCTTTAAAAGTTTTTGCTTATACTATCATACATAATAAAATCCAATAAGATACAACCTGTTTAGACCAATGGAGACAGAAGAACAAAAGCTTGATGAGACTTCAAAACAAGATGATACTAAATCAGTAATACCTATTAAGACGTCATTTTCTCCAGAATAGCTGTTCCTATCATCCAATCTTCTCTGCCTCATTTCTGTTGAGCTCTTTTTCTGTCATTAGTTGTCAGTTTGTCTTCTTCATTTTGTTTTCTGCTCCATTCATTGTGGCCTCTCTGCCACTATTTCTGGATTCTTTGTATTTTTCTTTTTTTAGAATATCCTGCAATACTCTCTGTAGAGTTGAATTGGTTCTTCTTTATCCTGGAAGCACCTTGTTTTTCCATCAATTTCCAGGGATAGTTGTGCAGGATATATCAATCTTGGCTGGAGATTATTATCTTTCAAAGCTTGAATTATTTCCCCCCACGCTCTTCGTGATTTGATGGTTTGTGCAGAGAAATCTGCTGTAATTCTGATGGGTGTTCCCTTGTAAGTGGTCTGTTTCTTGTCTCTGACAGCTTTTAATATTCTGTTTTTGTATTGAATTTCTGGAATTTTTATTATTATATGGCTGAGTGTTGCTCTGTTTGGATTGTAGGTGGCTGGGGTCCTGTATGCTTCATACAAATGAGTATCTTTACCTTTTGCTAAATTAGGAAAATTCTCCTGGATTATTTCTGTGAGTAGCTTTTGTAGTTCATTTGTTTGTGTCCCTACTTCTTCTTTTATGTTCTTAATTCTTAAGTTATGGATCCTCTTATCATCTTCTAGTCTTTGTATTATTGCTGTTTGTTTCTTTGTTACTTTTAAGAAGTTTTTCATTTCATTCTCCCATATTACAAATCTGCCCTCCAGTTCAGATAGTCTGTCCTTAGTTTCTTTCAAGCTGTTATGCCAGTTTTCGATAGAGTTTTTAGTTTCCTGGTAGTCTCTTTGAACCTGCTTCACGTATTCTATGCTTTCTCTATTTTCTCCATCAAACAATTCTCCCCTCTTTTTCTGTTCTTCCATTCCACCATCTGTTTTTTCTTGGGTGGTACTTAGCATTTCTGTAACTATTCTGCTTATTTCTAGCTTCAGGTCATTAATAACTTCATTCCTGAACTGATCTATGAGGCTCTCTAGATGGCGCTTTATGTCTATTGGTGCGGTGTCTGCTATTGCCTATTTCTCAGGATTGGGGGCCGAAGGGCTTTTCTTGTTGCTCCCTCTTCCCATATTCTTTGTTCCTTATATATGCAAGCGTATATAGGAGGCCCAGCTTCCTTCCCTGTCAGCCACAGTCTGATTGAATTGTGCTGGCTAGGTGTTCCTGCCCACCGCAGCACACCAAGAAGTTGCAGACCAGGCAGCCTATGCGGGGCCCGCCCCTCCAGGTCACCCTCAGGCTCTGGGATGTGGGTTGTGCTAGCCCACTGGGTCTCAGCCAGCAGTGTCACGTAGGCTAGGCACTTCTCACCAATCCCACTTGAGAGGGGGATACGTGGCTGAAGTCGCTGCAGCGCCCTGTTCCCGCAAGTCTTCCCAGTCCCAGAATGTCCTCTGTTGGAGTCTCCTAAACTGTGGAAGAGTGTCAGTTTCTCTCACTCACCTCACCACAAGTCAATGCACAGCTCCCCGCCTGTCCTGTTTTCAACTCTGTTCGCCGATTCCCGTTCTCAGAGCTTCTGCGCGTCTCTCTCCCTGCCAAGCCGATGTAGACGCAGCCGCCGCGCGGCGGGAAACCCAAATCGCGGCTTCCAATGCCACGGTCTCCGGCTTCCACCCTGAGGCTTTTCTGTTCCTGTTATAGCACCAGGATTGCATTCCAAGTTGGTTTCTCTCAGCCCAGTTCGTTCTTGGGTCAGCAGGGCATATCTCCACTTGCTTATGATTCCTTACTCCGCACATTCCTGAATTCTAAGCTGGTTCTTTCAGAGAGCCTCCATAGCTGCTGCTATCTGTCCGCCATGTTCTCCCGGAAGTCCTCGCCAGTGCAGTTTTAAAGTCTCTTGAGCTTAGCCTTTACCTTCTGCATTTCTATCAACATTATGATCTTGTGGGCCTACACCAGAATTGCCTTCCCAGCAACTTTAGTTTATAGCATTCTAGCACTGCTTCTCCAGCTAACATCTTTAAACATTACCCGGCTTCTGAACCACATGGTCTGGCAGTGTCACAGCAAGGGACCCCTCTCTTCTGGTACCAAAATCTGTAGTTACTTTCCTGTGGCAGAGACACAATACCTGACACCCACAATTTACAAAGGAAAGGTTTTTGGTTGTTCGTTTTGTTATTTTGTCTTTTTGAGACAAGGTTTTGTTACGTCATTCAGGCTGGCATTGAACTCACTTTGTAGCCTACGCAAACCTTGAACTCACAACGATCCTCCAGTTTGAGCC